CCCCCCCCCACACACACACACGTAGAGTTTACTAAAACCTCACCCTTTTTTATTTGAACTGACAAACAAAATGTGAGCCGAGAGCCTCAAACCTCTCCACCTTCAGACCCTAATAAAGGCATGTGCCCCAGGTCCTATTACTCTCTCTGCCTGTATCTGCCTTGACCTCCCATGTGGCCCTGTGAGGCGTCATATTATGTATTCTGTCTAGGGTTGTGAGTAATAAACTTCTCTATCTCAATTTCTCTTGCGGTCGTTTATTGACCCATATCCACCCCAGGGCTCTCCTTAACAAATGTTGATTTAACAAATTCATACCAAAGCTTTTGCACAGCAAAGGAAACCATCAACCAGAGGGAAAAGCACCCTATGGAATGGGAGAAAAATTGCAAACCATGTTGTATCTGATAAGCGGTTAATCCCTAAAGTATACAAGGAACTCATACAAAAAACAAAGAACCCAATTTAAAAATGGGCAAAGGACCTGAATAGACATTTTTCCAAAGAAGAAATACAAATGGCTAAGAGGTATATGGAAAGATGCTTTGGGATACCTGGGTGCATCAGTTGGTTAAGTGTCTGACTCTTGATTTGGGCTCAGGTCATGAGCTGATCCTATTGACTGTGAGATGGGAGCCCCAGATCGGGCTCTGTGCTGACAGCATGGAGCCTGCTTGGAATTCTCTCACTTTCTCTCTGCCCCTTCCCCACTTACGTGCTCTCTCTCTCTCTCTCAAAGAAACTTTTTTAAAAAAGATGCTCAAAATCACTAATCATCAAGATTTGCATAACTTGTGCAAATCAAAATCACAATGAGATATTACCTCATATGTGTTAGAATGTCTATTATCAAAAATATAAAAAATAACAAATGCTGGCAAGGATGTGGAGAAAAGGGAATACTTGTACACTGTTGGTGGGAATAGAAACTGGTGCAGCCACTATGGAAAACACTAAGTAGCTTCCTCAAAAAATTAAAATTAGAACTCCTATAGGATCCAGCAATCCCACTTCTGGGTATTATCCCATGTTCACTGAACCACTATCCACAATAGTCAAGGTATGGAAACAACCTAAGTCTCCATTGACACCTGAATGGATAAAGAAAATGTGATATATATAGATATATATAATATATCTAGATATATTATATAGCCATTATATATATCTATATATAGATATATAGATATACAGCTGTATATATATATCTATATATATTATATAGCTGTATATATAGATATATATATCTATATATACAATATATATATGTAATATATCTATATATATATATAATATTCAGCCTTGAAAAGAAGGAAATCTTGCCATTTGTGACAACATGGATGAAGTTTGAGGGTATTACGCTAAGTGAAATAAGCCAAGCAAAGAAAGACAAATACTGCACAGTATCACATATACAGAATTAAAAAAAAAAAAAAGTTGAACCCAGAGAAAGAACATTGGTTACGAGGGCTAAGAGGTCAGGAAAAATAGGGAGAAGCTGATAAATGGGTATAAACTTTAAGTTATGAATAAGATCTGAGGATCTAACATGATAACTATATTGATAATACTGTATTATATAATTAAAATTTGCTAAGAGAGAACTTAAGTGTTCTCACCAAAAATAAATAAATAAATCAAATGGACTGCTTGAATTGAGATGATGGAAGGGTTGCAGTTAAAGTCAACGACAAACTTCATAAGTAAGTAAGTGACTGAAGGAGAGTGGAGAGCAAGAGTCTTGCAGCAAAGGAACACAAGGAACTGAGAGTCTAGGATGTTGGAGCACGCATCTACATGGGTAGTGAAACCACCGAGTTTAAGACTGCTGCAGTGTTGAAGAGGGCAGAAAAAGAGGAGCAAAGTAAGTGACTGCATCAAGGAGAGACAGTGTTTGATAAAGTCTGATATGGAATTCAAAACTGAACTTATTACAGGGAGTGGTTTGACTCTTGATTTCAGTTCAGGTCATGATCTCATGGTTGGTGGAATTGAACCCTCATCAGACCCTGCGCTGACAGCACGGAGTCAGCTTGGGATTCTCTCCTTCCTTAGCTCTCTGCCCCTCTCCCATTCGTGCAGAGTGCTCTCTCTCAAAATAAATTAAAAATTTTAAAAGAAATTGACACAGTTGTATTTGCGTGGAGACTGGAGCCAGCCAGGAGCGAGGCAAGGAACTGTGATTTTTCATTATAAACTACCTGCGCACGTATTATGTCAATAACATTACAAAGGGCAAAAGGTTGAAGAAAAATAATAGAAGTGCTGAAAATACCCCAAAATAAAACCGTATTAATTAAATACTGTATACGCTCCCAGTTTTTTTCTGTACCATCAGAATCCATTTTGAAAATATTTAAAGAGCCCAAGATCAATAAAAGCTCATCTGGCGACTGAAAATCTTCAAAACACCTGACGTTAAAAAGGGGTCCTAAGTTTTGAGACCACTCAGCCAAGGATTCGATTCCAACGCGCCAAGGCTCAGAATACACGCCATTCCCCCACCCGCTAGGCCGGGACCGCCACAAAGCCTCGCGGGAGGCGGGGCCATGCCGTCACAGAGACGTCCCGCCCCCTTACGTCGCGCACTAGGAGGCCAGAAGGTTTCTGGCGGGGCCGGCGCCATTTTGCCGGAGCCTGCGACCGAGTGGGAGTGGAGTGGAGCGGCAGTTGTTGCCGACTCTTTCCTCCTCCCCACGGTCCAGTCAGCGGTTGATTAGGCCATCGGCCCTCAAGCCGAGACTTGTCTCTCATTTAGTTTTGGGGAGCGTCTGGCCGACATGAGTGATGTAGAGGAGAACAACTTCGAGGGCAGAGTGAGTACAAAGCCGCGGGAGCCGTCTTCGGCGGCGGCCCGATGCTCGGGTTTTCACGGGGACGAGCGCGGTCGGGCGGGGTTGCGGGGAGTCCTGCGGGGTCCCGCGGGGAGCAGCCTCTGGAGCCATCACGGTGGTTTCCTCACATACCAAGATGGCTTCTGGGTTCCACTCTTTCCCCCAAACACCACGGATAACCCCCTCTCCCCCTTTTTTTGGAGACTGACTGATACCTGGACTCCTAGGTCCGATTTCCCCCCGCAGTGGCGCGCTCCCTTCTCCCCACCCCTGAGGCTTCCTTATCTCTGTTCCGAGGAGTGGGTCCCCGTCGCGGTGGGGCGGGAGGAGACGGCAGGGAGTTCCCCTCCGGCCGGATAGTGGTAGGTGCTTCCTGCGGTGGCATTTCTGGCGACCCCGAGCATCGTAGAGGGTCTCGGGGTCGAAACTGCGCGGGGCTGTTGTCCGGGCGGGGAGAAGCTGGCGTGGGACTAGCTGGGGCCTGTGTCTCCTTGGCTCTCTATTGCAGTGAGCGGCCGCGTCTCTGTTGGAACCGGCGGCGTTGCGTCTATAAAGGCGAAAGCCTTGAGGTTGAAGGTGGGACGAGCCTAATGAAGTGGTTAGTCAACGACCGCACCGACCCTTAAGCGTTCTTAAGACGGGAGCTGTGAGGGGAAAACTACGCAAGGAGCCCTTTTCCCTTAATGTCCCTTCTACTTTCTTTTCACTTCAAAATGAATGTGGAAATGCTATAACGCCTGATTTTTTAATTCCTTGATGTTGGGTTTTTTTTTCTCTCTTCTTTATATCTCAACTTCTAATGCTTTCCTTCCTATGATCCTTCATCTAAAAACCACTTCTTTACAGGTCTTTACGGTAAAAAAAAAAAAAAAAAAAAAAAAAAAAAAAAAAAAAAAAAATCTTACATAACTGAACAAATTTTGTGGCTCAGTATTTTGAAAATAGCTAGTCAGTTTATACTGTTCTCTACTCAAAACGTTACCTGAAAATTACAGGCCCTCTCCCATTTCTCTCCTCACCGCATCCCCCAGCAAAGAGGGCCTCAGGGATTTTCACTATTTGGGGTCGATGAATATAAACATCATAAAGATACGTTATCCTCAGCCTAAATACACTAGAACGTTAATCAGTGTTTGAGTTCTACTTCCGAAGTTACCTTACAGTGGTAATTGGTGGAAGTGGTTTAGTGTTAAACCCTGAAAAGAAAATCCCCAGGCAGCATGTTCTTGCTGTTGTGTTGGTATTCTAGTTACTAGGGGAAACGCATAAAAGCCTTTAAGGTGTGTGCTGGTTGGAATGAATTTTGGCTTTTTTAGAAGTTCGTAATAAAAGTACTTAGAAGCAGACAGTTAAATCGGAAGGTTGATTTAGGCTTTTATTCTTTGTGAGGAAAGAGATTTAAATAGGTTAGAAACAAAACTTTTTTAATGCCTGTAAGATTGGATTTTTAAAATGAAATCTGGGTCACAGATACAAGTGAGTAGTCGAACCTGCTTATTTTTTAGTGTGGCGTATTGATTGTCCCAACAAAACTTTTTAAAAATCTTCTAATAAAAATATGTGGTGATAATTATAAGCTGATTGTTTTGATAACATTAGGTAGTTGTGGGAAGAAATTTGGCTGCCCATTAATCTTTCCTTCCGTTGACTTTAGTACAGAAATTTTTTTTTTGTTGTTAGTTTTGATTTGGTTTGTGGGGAAGTGAAGAGGACTACTATCTGGAACCTTGTTGTCCTTTAAGTTCTTACTTTTTAATTAGTCATCAAATTGAGGAATGGAACAAGTTTGAGGTAATTGACACCTAACCCACCTAAGAAGGCAGTATATGTAAGATCCCCACCCAATTTTAAGCTAAAATGTATGTAGGCATTAACATTTTATGTTAATAGAAAACGGGTTCTTCCTCCTCCCTGCCCCTTACAGTGTATACTGTCATAGAAAATATTTTTTGACATGTGATACCCAAGTGTATGTTAGTGTAAATGAACTCAGTAGATTGAATAATGCGTTCGCCCACCGTTACCTGTTACATCTTTTTTTTTCTTTTGTAGGTTGGGGTAATTGTCTTTATTTGTTATTGGTTAAAGAATTAGAAGAATGCCAGAAGCTTTTCTGAGGGTGTGCTTTTTTCTTTTTTAAAATTGTTTCTTACAACAGTTTAACATTCACTAGTGCTTTTGGTTTCTAAACTGTTGTGATTTCTTAACTGCTAGCCACAAACCAGCAGTTTAAAAAAGTTTTTAAAGAATATAGTTGTCATGTTATCTTTGTATCTAAATGTAATGACCATTTAGAAACACTCAAAAAAGGATTTTCAAATGATGTTTTTGAGGTTTTTAAGTAGTTATACTTCAAATTTTGTAACTAAAATGAAGCAGAGAAAACATTGATGGGTCAGTTGAGATTTCATTTGCTTTACCTTTAGAATAAATAGCACATATTAACCCCATGTTACTGAAAAGATATTTAGAATTAGAGGGCAACTTTTTTATAGCATTTCAGAATCTTAACCACGCCACACCTCCTCCCCCGATTTTTGATATGTTTTCTTATTCCTCACGATACTTTTGCGAGGGCTAGAGTATTCTTAGCCATTTTAGAAAGTAAAGCAGGCCTAGAAGACCATGCCAGGAATCTGAGATTTACAGTTCCCAGTCCATTGCTCATTGCATACATTATGCTGTATATATTTTGATTTACTTTTTAAAAAGGAGCACGTGTACTTGAGCATCTCAGACATTAATAGAGTTTGTGAGAAACAGTTTACAGGAGCTTAATTTTCCACTGTAGATTAATGTTTCTTCCATTGTAGAGGACTGGAATAAAAGAACTTGGGGAAGGAAAATATAACTGGCTGAATTTTGTTATAAGTAACCCTAATAGTTAACCCAATCAAAATTCCCTTCTGCCTAAGGTAAAACTGTCGAGCATCTGCTGCCTTTTAAGTAAAGGTCAGGTGTTCTTGAGGGAAATAGAACTTGGATTCTAATTTGAGATGACTGTCAGCTCAAATCTGGGTAAAGGTATATAATCACGTTCCCTGTGATAGAAGTAATAAGGAATTCAGAAAATGAAGCTGGGTGGTTTTGTGAGGTAGGGGAAAGGGAAAGCTTTACCTAACACTGGATCTTACAGTTAAGGAATAGATGACAATGAGGAGGTTGCTGGTGCAGTAATAGATGATAGATTTGACTAGATATGCAGTTAGATAATGGAGGGTTTTGAATTCTAGATTTAGGGATTTGGACTTAATCCAATATGCTATAAGAAGGCATGTATGGATTCTTAATTCTGGGAGTGGCATAATGAAAGGAATTTTAGCAAAGAACAGAGGGACTGGTACAAGAAGAGCAGCAAGGCACACGAGGTATTTAAGGAAGGAAATTGTGAAGACTCTGGTCCAAACAGGACAGCAGTGGGATGCAAAGAATGAGACATTTTTACTTTAAAATAAGTAGTAGGTTCCTTAAAACAATTTGCTTGGGACATGTATATTAAGTTTACAGAAATATTTTAAATGGAAATGTCTTTCTGAGCTGAGAGTGAGGCTGGCACTTGAGCTGTGCCTTTCCATGTCATCTTCATAAAAAGTTGTTTGCTTCACACAGCTTCGATTAAAGTTAGGATTTAGGTCTTCATAGAAATAATGGGGAATGGAAATTTTCATTTTACTTACTCACCCTCTACCCCTAATTTTTTTTTTTTTTAACGTAACTTAGAATAACGTTAAGTCCATTTTTTTTCTCATTCATTGGCCCATGGTTTTTAATAGAGGTTAAAGATTTTCATGTAGGGTCTATCTTATAATTCCACAGTTGAAGAGGAAAAATGCTACTTGTCTCCTTTTCAGAGTTTGTTAGAGCTTCTTGAGTAGCTAGAATATTTTTAAGTGACTCCTAGTGTTCCTCTTAACACATGATATGGTTTGGATGACAGAAGCAAAGAGCAAAATAAAAATTCGTCTGTACCAGTTTGGAATTAAAATGTGTGTGCGTTAAGATGTTCTGTTAAAGAATAGCAGAAATAGCGGAAGCTTTTTTCTTCTCTGAATCCTGATTTGTAATAATTGGGGTGATGATTGAGCTATTCAAAACCCATCTTGGTGACTGGCTTCTTTTTAAAAATAAAATAAAACTGGGCTTAAAATTTTTCTTTTGATGAAACTTTAATAAATGTGGGAGTACAAGGGAGGTTTGCGCTCTCCCTTCCTTTTAAAAAAATACGAATAAAAAAGAATCTCTATTTTACAGATAAGAATGTCAGCGTTTAGCTTTTAAAAATACTTAGTTCAGTTTCTTAAGCAATTTAATTTCATATATATCATCACATCAACTTGTTACAAAAGGGGAAGACTTTCTTTCCCATAGTAGTGACAGTATTAAACTTGACAGTCTTGTTTTAGGTTCAATTTATTTATTAAAGTTAAGTGCTTTCATCCAATTTTAATGCTTTTTTTTATTCCCTCTGTGGATTTTTAAGCAAGGAATTGCTGAACTTAAGGAAACATTTTTAATGCTCAAATTTTAATATTTGAGATTCTTTCGCTGCTCAATAGAGGTAGAAGGTAGGATTTCTAAAGGGAGCAATGTAACTAATTGTACCCCCAGTGCACAGATTTGTCACAGATGCTTAATGATTTGTGCCATTCCAAAAATGAGAATAAAAAATCTTGAGATCTGAAAGAATGTGAAGGGATTTAAATATTTAGGAATGAGCTTTGTTTATGGATTTACAGAATTTATTTACCTATGGTCTGTGTAGTGTAACAAGTGTGAAATGGCCAAGGATAATCAATAGTTTCTTAGAACCTTCCTGACAGTGTGAAAACCTACTCTTTGATACTATCACTGGGTGCTCAGGCATCAAATAACTAACCCTGGGACCTTTGTAAAAGGTATATATTCACATGCTAAATTAGTTAATACTGATTGTTATTTGTTCACCTGTCCTACCAGATTTAGCAGGACAGAAGTGCAGGTGA